TCTGTAGATTAGTCTGTAGACTAGTCAATAGACTAGTCTGTAGACTAGTCAATAGACTAGTCTGTAGACTAGTCTGTAGACTAGTCAATATACTAGTCAGTAGACTGGTCAATGGACTAGTCAATAGACTAGTCTGTAGACTAGTAGTAGGATAGTCAACACTCTAGTTGACAAACTAGTCAGTAGTCTAGCCAATAGTCTTGTCAATAGACAAATCCATATTTAGTCAATTGACTAGTCGACGAACTAGTCAAATAATTAGTCTATAGACTAGTCAATAGTCTAGTCGACAAACTAATCATTAGTCTACACAATAGACTAGTCAGTAGACTAGTCAATAGCCTAGTCAATAGACTAGTCAATAGCCTAGTCAATAGACTAGTCAATAGACTAGTCAATAGACTAGTCAGTAGACTTGACAATAGACTAGTCAGTAGACTAGTCAATAGACTAGTCAGTAGACTATTCAATAGACTAGTCAGTAGACTATTCAATAGACTAGTCAGTAGACTATTCAGTGGACTAGTCAATAGATTAGTCAGTAAACTAATGTATATACGAATGTATGTTTTGTAAATCATACAATTTGATTCATGTTCAAGTAAGTATTTGGCTGTGCCTGCAAATACATTTATCAACTTAAGAATACACATACACAGTACAAGTACATACATATGTAGTACAGCCCAGCAGTTTTATAAGGATACAATGTATCAATTTTACACAGTATTTTATACAAATTTCGGATAAATTTTTAAACTTTTGAGATACTTGACTCATATTCAAACATCTGATCTGGACAATAACATGAACTGCAGCGATTTCTGTATGCGTGTGTGTGTGTGAGTACGTTTAAAACAAGTATTGTAAATATCTTTAGGATACTTAGAATCACAATTTTCTCTCTTAAACATTTCTAAAATAAGTAACCATGAGTTGTAACTGATTTATTTTCCAAAAAAAAAATATTTATAATTTAACAACTACATACATACTTAAACTTTTTTTGTTAGAAAAACACATTTAAATATTTGTTGTAGCAAAGAGTTAAAAGTTAAAAAACTTTAAACTTTTTCTTTTGGTTTTGTTGTTTTATGACAGCATTAAGTCTAAATTTCTTAGAAGTTTATTTGTTAATAAATAAAACTTTTAAGAAAATTACTTTCAAAATTTAATTAGAAATATCAACAGAAAAGTAAAGAAAACTAGAAAATTTTACGAAAGTCCTAGCAAAGAAAAGCACAAAACTAATAAAATGACATTTATATTTTAATCGTTATATAGTTTTAACTAAGATTTTGAAAAACAAGTGTAAGTGGTGCCTTTGCTAGGTACTTTTTGTTTTTTCAAGAATTGTGGATAAAAGTTCAGATTAATGCTAAAACCACAGAAGGGGATTGTTTTTCTGTTAACTCTGCTGATGGAGTCCTATTATAGGTCAATATCTTAACAATAAACTTTATTCGTAAATAACTCCTTTCCCCTCCTTTAAGTACATGAAAACCTTAAAAATACTCCAGTTTTTTTAAAACTTAAAATAACGAAAAGTTTTGCTTACAGTTGAACTTATATAGCTTCTTTTTCTATAAAACAAAAAAAAATGCCCTAGAGTAGGCAACGAAAACAAGCAAAACGAAAGCAAAACAACATGAAACTAAAAATCATGATAAATGTTTAGCATACATACAGGTATTTCATTGTGTTGCATACTTTTGGGAATTAAACACACATAACAAATTGTATTTAATAATAATACAGATTTTGTTTTATTTTTTGGTTAAATTAAAGTTTTTTTATTGATTTTTTTGGAGGAAAATGCAAAAAAACATTATTTACCTAACCAAACTCATACATATTAAATTATTTTGATGGGAGGTATGGATCAAGAAGGAACTTTCCCTGCTTTATTAAAAATGTTGCTACATTCGTTTGATAGTTAGAACAGAGATGACTGAGACTAAAGACTAGTCTTTAGTCTTTAAACATATATCTTTCTTTCTTACTTTTTTACATAAGAATAGAAAAAATCACATTAATATTTTTTGTTATTTTATGTAGTTTTACTTTTCTATTATTATCCATCATAAACATGGAAAAAGTTTATCCTTTAGGCAGTATTTTTATTTCATTGATATGGAAAAATAAGAAAACAGTAAAAGAATACCACCAAATAAAGAAAACACAACAAAACATATATTCGAGTTATAAATAGTGGAAATAAAATATGCATAGAAAATGTTTTCTTCATATAGAAATATGGGTCATAAAAAAATTGTTTTTTTTTTTTCGTTTCCTGTTTCAAATTTTGCACAATGAGAAAAAAAGTTTTGCTAGATAATAAAGAGTATTGGAAAAAGTTTTCGTATACAAGCTAAAGGAGCTGATCATAAAGACATTTTTTAGATTTGGGAGAAAAAAAAGATAGTTATTGAAAGATAATAAAACAGGCGTTGGAAAGTTATTTATAAGGTCACTTTATAAAGATGTTGATACTGTAAAATGGTCTACTGACGATTCCGTTTGATAGCCTATTGAATAGCCCACTGATTAGTCTATTGACTATGTATTCTTGTTTGTCAACTAGTCTATTGAGTAGTTTGTCGACTAGTCTATTTACTAGTTCGTTGACTGATTTAGGGACTAGTCTGTGACCTAGTCTATTGACTAGTTTATTGACTAGTTTATTGACCAGTCTATTGACTAGTCTATAACGTAGTCTATTGACTAGACTATTGGCAAGTATACTGACTAGTCAATTGACTAGCCTATTGACTAGTCTATTAACACGTCTATATCCTAGTCTACTAACTAGTCTATTGACTAGACTATTGGCTAGTATACTGACAAGTCTATTGACTAGCCTATTGACTAGTCTATTGACTAGCCTATTGACTAGTCTATTGACTAGTCTATTGACTAGCCTATTAACTAGTCTATTAACTAGTCTATAGCGTAGTCTATTAACTAGACTATTGGCTAGTATACTGACTAGTAAATTGACTAGCCTATTGTCTAGTCTATTGACTAGTATATTGACTAGTATATTAACTAGTCTATAACCTAGTGTACTAGACTAGACTATTGGCTAGTATACTGACTAGTCTATTGACTAGCCTATTGACTAGTCTATTGACTAGTATATTAACTAGTCTATTTACTAGCCTATTATCTAGTCTATTAACTAGCCAATTATCTAGTCTATAACCTAGTCTACTAACTAGACTATGGGCTAGTCTACTAACTAGTCTATGGACTAGTCTAATGATTAGTATTTTGACTAGTCTATTGATTAGTCTATGTACTAGTCTATTGACTAGACTATTGGCTAATATACTGACTAGTCTATTGACTAGCCTATTGACTAGTCCATTGAGTAGTCTATTGACTAGTCTATTGATAAATATACTGACTAGTCTATTGACTAGCCTATTGACTAATCTATTGACTAGTCCATTGACTAGTCCATTGAGTAGTCTATTGACTTTCCCATTGACTAGTCTATTGACTAGACTATGTACAAGTGTATTGTCATGTTTATGTAGACAGTGGACTTTATGAGCACTGGAAGATCTAGTTTGTGTAGTTTGTCATTTAGTATATTGAGTAGTTTGTCGACTGGTCTATTGACTATTCTATAGTCTTGTCTATTAAGTGTTCTATTGAGTAGTCTATTGACTAGGCTATTGACCAGTGTACTGACTGTTCTATGGATTATTGACTAGTCTATTAACTGCTTTGTCAACTAGACTTTTGACTAGTTTTCGGAAAATTATCCTCAGATTCCTCTTTCATGAGAATTTCCAATATGCTGCCCTATCCTTACATGTAGACAGTGGATTTTGTGAGCACTGGAAGATCTAGTATGTCTAGTTTTTCAGCTCGATTAGTCTATTTACTAGGTTGTCGACTAGCCTAGTGAGTAGTATATGAACTAATCTACTGACTATGCTATAATATAGTCTTTTGACTAGTCTACTGACTAATCTAGTAACTAGTTTACCAACTAGACTATTAAATAGTTTTCGGATACCTATTATTGGAGGAGTGTCCTTAGGATTGCTATTTCATGTTAATTTCCAATATGAGCCAATATGCTGCTCCCATCCTTTAATGTAGACAGTGGTCTTTGTGATCACTGGAAGATCCCCTTTTCTTCTTATTGTAGACCAGGTCTTCTGCCTTACTGGGCTGATCTATTGAAAAATATTGCAGTAATCGTCTCGATTTCTTCTCATGGCTCCTTCGATGTAAGAGGGCGTCTATTTTCCTTTTACACTATCTATCTTCTTGATCCTTCCTCTTCGCGGCTTCATTTAAGACACCCTTACCTTTGGCTTCAGTTTATCTTGCTTAGTTTTGTCACTCTTACCCACAAGATTCTGGTTTGAAATAGGTTTCTTTTCAGTCTTCAGCTCCTCGGGAGATCTGTTCCTCTTTGATTCAGATATTGAGAGAGAATGCGATATGTCTTTCGGAGTGTCCTGGGATTTACTTACTACGATTGCGTGAAGCTACTTTAGGAGGAAGTTTTTAGCTAAGCATGCTTTCATTCGTTTGCATTTTTTTATGATCTGAGTATTCGGAGTCGGAGCCCTCACAAATATTTAAAGGCTGAGGTGGTTTAGAGATAACTTCGGGTACTTCTTTCTCTTTCATCCCTACATTTTTGGCAATGACATTTGGTGCACTGTCCGCGACCTCCTTAAAAACTTTTGATCACTATTATGGGATGACGATAACACTTGACTCTATAGCACTTGTCTCCAATAAGGGATTATTAGATCCTACTTCGTAATTAATGTAACTTTATTTTAGAAAAGGGTTATAAAGCAACATTTTCAGAAATTCTCTCATTGGAGTGAAAACAGACCGGAGTCTTTTATGGAAATAGAACCCACGAGTCCTAGACTGATAGACTATCCATGGTAGAAGTTCTCAGATATCGATCACACGTACTTTAAATATAACTAATATGAAAAAATTTTATTGAACTCCAAATT